GACAGGGGTCAGCAAACTTGGACAAATATTTGTTTGACCCGTAAGGTAAGAAGGATTTTTGCTTGACCCGTAAGGTAAGAAGGATTTTTACATTTTTAAGTGGTTGAAAAAAATCAAAAGGACATTTCGTGATGTGAAAATTAAATGAAATTCAAATTTTGGTGTCCATAAATAAAGTTTTATTGGAATACAGCCACACACATTTGTTTACGTATTGTCATGGCTGATTTACACTGTAACGACACAGTTACGTAGTTGTGACAAAAACCATATGGCCTGAAAAGGCTAAAATATTTACTATCTGACCCATTACAGAAAAAGTTTTCTGATCATTGGTTTATGTTATTCTAAATTCTGACACCGTTTTCTTGGAGGTAGATTTCCATTTGCAAAGTCAATGTAACATATAAGTACCTGCAATGGTTATTTTTTACTTTCTAGATTTTATTGCATTTTCAATTTCAGTTTCACATTAGAAAAATTAAGTGTGCTTTGTTTCATAGACTTAAAGATTATTCCACATCCACAGTTTGTTTAAGGATTTAAATTTAGTTCACTTGCTATTACTGCCTGGCTTCAATTGATTTAGTGGGTTAGTCAATTACAGACTAAATAATTGGTTCAATCAAAACCATCAGAAAAATTGACACAACCTAAACTCACTTCAATGTACCAATAAACTGGAGTCCCTTCTCTAAATGTTTTCCTAAAGCGGTTCAAAAAATTAAATCCAGGCCATTTTATAGTCAATTTTTTCAGATTTATTTTTCAACCCAAACAAAGGTAAAACCATGATCAAAAGATTGCATAAAGTACACCTTCATTTCCAGACTGCTGGTCATAAATAAAAATCTGAATTTACCAAGGAAATAAGAATTCACCACAGACTCTGCTGTGGTCACACGTGGACACCCTTATTGAATAGATGTTCAAAATGAACAATCCTTCTTTTCTTTTTTCCTTAATTCACCTTTGACAGCACCACCACCTCCCACTACCACATGCCTATGAAGGGAAAACTCAAGAAAGCCTTTTTGCCACTTTCTCCTTCTTTAAAAGCAACCATATACCTTCCACATATCCATTTCTTTTAATTTGAGTCTTGCCTCGTATTTGCATTTCCAGAGTAAAATAATAAAATGATGTGTGAGGGTCAGGCCCACAATCGTAAGGTTTCTTTGGCAAAGGCATTTTGGCCAATGCTTTGACACCATTGTGATCCTTAATTCATTTGTTCTGATTCTCGATTCTGCTCTCACCAAAGCAAAACTTATGCAGAGCTTATTTGTCCTTGTGTTTTGACATAAATCAGGGCCTGTATAAATCAATTTCTCTGTCTCTTTTCCATTGCAAGGCACAGAACTTGGAAGGTGTTCACACATGTGAGACTGTCTTAGTCCATTTGGGCTGCTATAACAAAATACCTTAGAATGGATAATTTATAAAACACAGAAATGTGTTGCTCACAGTTCTGAAGGCTTGGAAGTCCAAGATCAAGGTGCCAGCAGATTCAGTGTCTGGCGAGGGCAGCTCTCTGCTTCATGGATGGTGGCTTCTTGCTGTGTCCTCACATGGTGGAAGGGGCAAGGGAGCTCCCTTAGGCCTCTTTTTTAAGGGCACTAATCCCATTCATGAGGGCTCTGCCCTGACAACTTCATCAGCTCCCAAAGGCCACACCTCTTAATACTATCACGTTGGGGATTAGGTTTCAGTATATGAAGTTGGGTGGGGGACATAAAAAATTAGACCATAGCGAGACACTTTCAGGCTTTTGCCAAGCATTAATAAACAATTTCCAGTGCAGGGAACACTCTTCACCCCCTTTTCTCCCACTCAAGAAAAGTATCTTAATACAGCTGATTGGAGTGACATTGCTCTAAGGGTAACTTCGAAGCCAATCTAATTTGTACTTAAAAATTTATTCCTAAATTTTGGTACTTTATTATTGGATACAAAACCCTTGTGACATCACATTTAAGAATCATTGATACTGAGGCTTGTGCTCTCTGCTTGAAATGAACTGTCCCAAAACCTGGGAAAGGATGCCTAAAGAACAAGAGAAGCCCTTTCACATGCGTGTGCAGCCCCAAGTGATCCACGGCACAAAGAACTTGAACTTTCTGGTAAGTATGTTCTTCAGAAAAATAGGAACTCAAAAAGCAAATGTAAAATGCCAGTCCTGATGATTTGGCCCACTTAACTATGGAGTCATAAGATATGAAACATCAAGGTTTCCAGGTGTACACAAAATCTTTTGTGTCTCTACCACAGAAGCTGCATATTATCAAATTTACTGCCTATTCCATTGCTCTTTCTTCCTTTTTCATTTTATGTGGGGGAGTCTGACTAGTATCACTAGACACCATTTTGGTATTTTTTCCCCACACCATGAAGACATATAATGGATTTTATTCATTTAATATAAATGTATAAGTGATTTAAAAAGAAACAATGCTAAAATTCCTAAAACTTTTCTTTGTCTTAGTTACACATAACCTGACATTAAAAAAAAAAA